GCGTGGCCAGGATGCCCGGCCCCTCCTGCGCTCGGCATGCTTGTGCAGGGTGCCAGGCTCAAGTCTGCAGGCCAGCGCCTTGAGCTAGGACTGTTCCATTTTCATTGTATTTTTACCATTGCCTTCTGTTTGCGATAAGGGATGCTGTTTTTTATTTATTTTTTAAAAATATTTATTTATGGGGCCAGCACTGTGGCATAGTGGGTAAAGCAGCCACCTGCATTGCCAGCATCCCATATGGGTGCCAGTTTGAGTCCCAGCTGCTCCACTTCTGGTCCAGCTCTCTGCTATGGCTGGGAAGCAGTAGAAGATGGCCCAAGTGCTTGGGCCCCTGCACCCACGTGGGAGACCCAGAAGAAGCTCCTGGCTCCTGGCTTTGGATCGGCCCAGCTCCAGCCATTGTGACCTTTTGGGAAGTGAACCAGCTGATGGAAGATTCTCTCTCTGCCTCTTCCTCTCTATAACTCTGCCTTTCAAATAAATAAATAAATCTTTTTTTAAAAAATGTATTTATTTGAAAGATGGAGTTGTAGACAGAGAGGAGAGAAAGAAAGAATCTTCCATCCGCTGGTTTACTCCCCAAATGCCCGCAATGGCCGGGGCTCAGCCAGGCCGAACCCAGGAGCCAGAAGCTTCTGGGTCTCCCATGTGGGTGCAGGGGTCCAAGCACGTGGGCCATCTTCCACCCACTGCCTTCCCAGCACAGTAGCAGGGCTCTGGATCAGAAGTGGAGCAGCCGGGACTCCAACCGATGCCCATATGGGATGCCAGCGCTGCAGGCCGTGGTTTAACCTGCTGCACCACAGTGCTCACCCCTGTTTTTTATTTTTACAGTGACATGACGGCTCCCTCAGAAACCCTAGAGCTGGGACAGGCATTTGGTGCAGTGTTACCACTCGGGATGCGCGCTACCGTATCAGAGTTCCTGGTTCAGGTCCCGGCTCCTGCTTCTAATCCAGCTTCCTGCATGCACACCCTAGGGGGCAGCTGATGATGACTCGAGTTCTTGGGTCCCTGCCCTGAAGTGGAGACCTGGGTTGAGTTCATGGCTGCTGGTCTTGGCCTGGCTCAGCCACGGTCATTGTTGACATTTGAGGAATGAGCCAGCAGGTGGAAGATCTGTTTCTCTCTGTCTGCTTTTCAAATAATAATAATAAGGTAGTTAAAGAAAAGTACATTGAGCAAAATACGGTGCAGTGGTTTGAAATGCCTCAGCCAAAAATGCAGAATCCAGAATGCCCTAAAATCCAAAACTTTCTGAGCACCAAAATGACCAGGAATGGAAAACCCTACACCCGGCCTCACGTGACAGGTCGCAGTCAAAACACAGGCACACTAAAACATTGTGTAGACTTCTCTTCGGGCTCCGTGCATATGGCGGCTGTGAAACGTAAATGCACTTCATGGTTGGACTTGGGCCCCATCCCCAGGATACCTCCTTACGCGTCTGCACACATTCCCAAATCCCGAACACTTCCGGTGCCCAGCGTTTCGGTAAGGGATGCCCACCCTGTGCCAAGTAGGTGACAGTCCAGGTGGCTGCTGGATGTGGCAATACTCGAGAAGGGCTTGGGCACGCACTGCCCTCCGACAGGCCTCACGGTGGCGGATGTGTGGACCGGTGCTGGGTTCTTACTAGGAGCAGGGTGTATTCTGGGAGAGGGCCGCCACCTCCTGCAGCCGTGTGTGCCGCGGCTCAGGCAGCCTGCCCGGGCAGGCCCCATCCCTGTGTCCAGAGACGGGGTGACTCGCCTGAGGTCACACGGCTAGGAAGGGCAGAGCCAGAGTTACCCGCAGACCCACGGGGAAGGTCCGTGCAGGAGGACAGGGGCTGGGGCAGCTGAGCGGCACCCTGTCCCCCTTCAGCCTGGGCAGGGCAGCGCCCGCGAGACTCCAGGGCCTTTTTCTCCTTTCAGCCAAGTCCCAGCCTCGGTGACCTCTCCGCAGAGGGTCAGTGAGGTTGACCCTTACTTCTCAGAGTGGCCAAGTCCTCACGTGTCGTCTGGCCAGCCGCCCACGCCCACGTCCACGTCCAGCTCTGGGCAGTGACTTGGAGTGAAAGGTTCTGGTTTCGGGAACAAAGCACCCCCCCCCCCCGAAGGCAATGGCCGATGAATCTGGGGAGGGTGGAGAGCGCCGTGCGTGCTGCAGCCCTGGGGTGCCCGTCAGCGGGGTGCGCCCGCCCTGGGGAAAGGGGTGGACCCAAGCTGCTTTGGGATCAGACCGCAGCACTCCAGACCCGGACTCCGCGTGGACAAGCCGCGAGGCTGTGCACGGCCTACTTCACCTGGCCGAGCTGCGTTTGAAATGCAGACTGGTGCCACCCGGGTCCTAGGGCAGGGCCTTGGCCCCTCGCAGCCGGAGCCGGTGGACTGCATCCCCGGCCGTCTCCAGCCACAGAGGCCGCAGCCTCGCTTCACGGGGCGGTCCTCAGCACGCTGTGCGACTTTGGGGGAGGTCACCGCCCCCACCGGGCCCCTTCCCTCCTGAACGTGAAGCCAGTGGGACCGCCCAGCAGCACAGTCCCCCAGGTCTCAGGGGACACTGGCCGTGTTTGCTGCTACACCCACCTGCCGCCTGAACAGTCATTTTCTTGAAGTCGGGTCTTCTTCAAGCGAAAGCTTCACTATCGGAAATGGAAACCCGGCACGGCTCGCTATGATAGAGGGCGACCCTACCAGTAGACACAATGACAGGAGAGGAGCGCAAGGGATGCCAGCTGGAGCCAGTGCGGGAGTGAGGCCGGCTCCTGCGAAAGGGCAGCCTCCCCACCCCGTCCCGCCCCTCCCCCCGCCACAGCAGCTGTCCAGGACCCTGCAGTCACAGTAGTGGCCGAGGAGGAGTGAGGACAGCCCGTGTTCCCGGGGTGTGGCAAGCATCGCCGTGAGCCCCCACGAGGGGGCAGCTGCAGGTCCCTGGACCCCACTGCTCTGTAGCGCCACGCTGGCCTTTCACAGAGGCCCACACAGGTTCCCTGGAGGAGGGAGGCCAGCGGCAGATGGACCTGTGCTGGGTTTGGGGGTGGGAGAAGAACCCAGGGACGCCCTCCTGGGAGGCAGAGCGCCCCTTGCGGTGGCCGCTGCCCCTGCATTTGTGTTTGCGTCTGCTTGCAGGTTCCTCGGGAGGAGGGCCGAGAACTTGCCCCTGGCGTCAGTGGGAACCGGGGAGTGTCTCAGCAGCGGAGGGAGTATTCCCAGCTGGCCTTGAAGAGACGAGCCTGGCAAAGGACACAGAAAGCTTGATCGGCCTGGCCCCCCACCCTGTACCAAGCCCCGGGGGGCTCCTGGCCCCGCCGTGCCCTCTCCCTGCCAGCCCTTCCCTCTCTGCCTGGACTGCATTCGTCCCCTTGGCTTCTTCCCATCCCCGGGGTGTGACCTTGGGCTGAGCGTGCTCACTGGGCTGACGGTGTCTGTGCACCCAGGAGGAACCAGGTCACGTCGTGTCTCCGATCTCAGGCGGCACCAGGGCCTGGAGTCGGAGCCAGGCCCTGCACTTACGCGCTGAGCTTCCTCTCTCAGAGTTACTTACCGTCTCTGATCCTTAGATCCATCTGTGAAATGGGTTCACAACTCTTGGGCTCCTAGGGAGGGTGGAACAGACCCCAAGATGAGGATTCACGTGGGGGTGTTCCCAGGGAAGGGCAGGGGACCGACATAGCAAAGCCAAGTGGTTACTGCTGCTGCTCCGGAACTCGGGGCCTGAGGCAGCAGAGCTGGGGGGGTGAGCCACCACCTTTCTGCCACCGCTGGGGCAAGACAGCCTGCACCTGCAGCCGGGGCCAGGAGGGCCGTGGCAGCAGACGGTGACCTGCAGGTGGAAGGTGGCAGCTCGGCACGGCCAGTGGGTGAGGAAGGAAGGGGCAAGGCGGCCGCAGCCCCTGCACACCCAGAGCTCAGGAAGCGGTGGTGCTCGGCGCGTGCACTTTCCTCCTTGCTGGCCCAGTGCTGGCTCTGCCTCTCACGGTTGTGCAACTTCAGGCCAGTCACTTGGGTTCTCCGAACCTCGGTTGTTCCACCTGTGAAATGGGGAGATGCGCGGTTCTTAACAGAAGCAATTCTGCCCCCTCTGGTGGCCGCTGGAAAGTGGTTTTGGGGGGAAGCATTCTTCCTGTCAGTGACAGGATGCTGCTGGCATCTAGTGGTTGGGGCCGGAGGAGCCCCCGCACCCCAGAACGGTCCTTCCACAATGTCAGCCGTGCCCTGGGGATCGCTACGTGGAGCACAGGGAGTGGAAGAGCCCTGTTCAGTGCCCAGTGAAGATGAGGCCCAGAGCCAGCTGTCAGGAGGTGGGGCTGTAGAGACCCTGGCCTCCCGCTGGCCGCAGAGGAGGGCAGGGGAAACAAGGGGCCGTGCTGGAGGGAGGAAGCTGCGTCCGGGAGGCCGAGGCCAGTGCTGGGGCTGCCACAGCCAGCCCTTCCTCCTGTAGGCTGCAAAGCAGGCTGGGAGGAGCTGCCAAGGCCCGCCTCCTGCTCAGAGCTTGCCGCGTGGCCCCGAGCCTGGGTCAGACAGTGGAGCTGGGGGAGCCCTGAGAGGCAGCACTCCCTCCCTGTGTGAAGCTGCACTGCTCCCCACCCCCCAGGGCTCAGAAATCAGGCAAATTCACCGAAATGAGGGTTTTTCTTGGGGTGGGGGGAGGCTGTAGCCCAGCAGTTACGCCTCCCGTGTCCCAGGTCAGGGCGCCTGGGTTTGACGTGGCTCTGGCTCCTGTAATGCAGGTCCTGGGAGACAGCAGCGATGGCTCCAGAATGGAGTTCCTGCCACTCTGGGAGACCTGAATCGGGCTCCTTGCTATTGCAGACATTTGGGGGCATCTCTCTCTCTTTCTGCCTCAAAAACAGAACCAAAGTGTACAACAGAAATTACGGAACTGAGTGTGGGCTGCAGTGGCCCCCCAGGTGTGAGGGAGGCTGGCAGACTTCCCTGGCCGCCCCAAGCCCCCGAGGCCTGGCGGTCTGCGGTGCTGCCTCCACACTGCTCATGTCCCTTTTGCCTTCTTCCTAGGCCTGGCCCCCTTGAAAGCTTTGTGCCAACAGAGAGGTTCCCGTCCAGACCCAGGAGGGCGGAAGGAGAGACTGGGCCTGGGTGCCGAGGCCGGAAAGACACCTGCCTGCAGAGCCGGGCGAGGGCCACGGGTGTCGGAAGACTCTGTGCTCCCGCAGCACCGCCCAGACAGCCCGGCCTCGGCTCCTGACTCTCCACAACCGCGATGGATGTTTGCAGGAACCCAGCCAGCGTCTGCCTCCCCGCACTTGATGTCCACTGCACCTGCTTGCACTTAACCTTCGGAGAAGACCCTTCAAGTGGAGGACACACTCAGGAGCCACGCCCAGCTCTGCCTGAGAAGCCCGGCTGGCCTCACTCAGCCTGAGGCTGGCCTCCTATGCAGCCGCTTTCACGCCGAGACCCCGAGGGAAAAGCTGAGGAACGGCGTGGCAGCCGGGAGGAGGCCCTGACTTACCCATTTCCAGTTGCTTGTCCCTTATCGAGTTGGCAGAACCGAGACGTGTGCCATGTCGCTCCTCTGGCCAGAAATATATTTTTGAAAATACGAGTGGTGTGGATACTTGATTTAGACAAACCTGTAAAAGCAATACTTAGGAGGCTGACTTCTTTCAATTAAAAAAGTATGCAACTCCAACTCCCGGGGACCCTTTTTTTTTCCTTTGGGCTCAGGACTTCGGAAAGGGGTCCTTATATAGAATCTCACTGACAAAGGGCAGAAGGGGCAGGGCCTCCCAGGGGAGATCCAGCGTCTACCCCAGCTGGCCCCTCCCAGCCTGCAGCAGCCTGACACGCCTGGGGCAGCCCTTCAGTAGCACAGGAAAAGCCCGAGGGCCAAGCTGGAAGGAGCCCGAATCCCAGGGGAGTGGAAGCGGACTTCCCTGTGCCCAGAACACCATAAGCCGCCCTTCAGATGAGGGGGTGAATGACTAAACGGATGAGTGAAATTGGGCCAACTTGGCAGGTGCGTGGGAAACAGTGGAACCTCTGCCCAGCTTGCAGAGAACTTGGTGGCTCTCGAAGCCCTCTGACGTACACAGCAGGCTAAGCAGGGTGATGCTCACATTGGCAGAGAGGCCTGGGGAAGGGGAGGCTTTGGAAGGTGTGTAGGTTAACGCCCGCAGAAGGTGGCGCTGTGCCACCACCGTGCCGTGGCTCCCTGGACCCACAACCGTGCCCATGGAAGTCTTCCAGTCACCTATGGCGCTGACATCCTGACTCCTCCCTTTAGAGGGGTGTGGCCTAGAAGTGTGACATCTAGGACGCGTGGACAGTAACTTCCCCAGCTCTTCGGTGTGTTAACCACAAGGTGTCCCTCTGGGCCTGCGTGACTCCACACCAGGACCCACAGCGGTGCACGCAGAGCCCCGACTAGTTTGTACTGCCCATGGACCTTGTGTCCAGGCGCCTTTGGGCAGTGCACAGACTGCCCATCCACCCAACAGGTCTGTCCAGAGGTTTTTTTTTTTTTTTTTTTAATATTTCTTTATTTGAAAGGCAAAGTTACAGAAAACAGAAGCAGAGACAGAAAGGTCTTCCATCCACTGGTTCACTCCCCAGATGGCCACAATGGCTGGAGCTGGGCCGATCCGAAGCCAGGAGCCAGGAGCTTCTTCTGTGTCTCCCACGTGGATGCAGGGGCCCAAGCAGTTGGGCCATCTTCCACTGCTTTCTCAGGCCATAGCAGAGAGCTGGATCAGAAGAGGAGCAGCTGGGTCTCAAATCGGCACCCATATGGGATGCCAGCACTGCAGGTGGCAGCTTTACCCCCTATGCCACTGTGCCAGCTCCAGGGAGAGAATTTTTAAAACTTGTTAAAATGGAAGCCTCGGCAGGGAACTTGTACCTAGTACCTGCCTGTAGGACGAATAAGGCAAAGTTACAGTGGGAATTGCTTGTTTATTCCACATTTGCTGAGCACCTACAAGCCCCACACGTTGCTGGGTAGAGAGCATGGCAGGGAACAGGCAGACAGGGCCCTGCCCTCCTGGCGCTCCCACCCTAGGACAAGAGCAGGTAACACACACACACACGTGTGAGGAAGACGCAATGGGGGGGGGGGGCAGAGAGGGACTGGCAGCCTTCCTGAGGAGCTGTCCTCCAAACAGTGCTGAAAAATGAGCCGTCGGTCAGGTGGGGCTTAGCACAGCGCCTGGCACAGCATAACCACAATCATGAACACTTGCTGCGTGTTTACTCCGACCCAGGCACTACCAACTCATTACATATCGGGTGGCTCTCAGTGATAAATATGATCATAAACAGCCTCTGAGCTCATCTTGTCAGATCCAGACAGACCAAGAGCAAGGTCCAGTAGAGCCCACGTGGCCGACAGGTGCAGCAGATGCCAGAGCCAGGCCATGGCTCCATGCTCACCCCTGTGGCCACACCAGGGAGCACCCCCTGGACTCTGCAGTGTGTGAACCCAGGAATGCCGGGAGGAGTGACAGCTGAGCCACCTACAACCCAAACCTGGGCCCCAGACCCAGACGGCCTTCGCAGCTGGGGCACGACAGACAGCACCTGCCCCCCTACAAGGAACATCAACCAGGCAGCCTAAGCTGAACCCTTCAAGGTTCTTCTGACCCCCAATTCCCACTTGCTTGGAAGAGAAGCAGAATTGGGGAACCTGGCTCAGTCTGTGGGCATCAGGGCCTGCATGCTGGTGCTGAACGGACAGCTCCCCAGCCACTGGGAGCCAGCAAGTTCGGCTCAGCGGGGCTTCTGACCCAGCACACCAAGCAGGAATGATCAACAAAAGCCATCTGACAGCTGCTGGGTGGGAAGTGCAGCTGCCAAGTCCCTTCTGGGCTCGCTGCGATGGAGGCAGGATTCCAACTTGGCTGGGAGACGGCTCCCAGGACAGCACAACAGAGGCAGGGGAGTACAGCACTGGGCTCCACCCTGGTCCTCAAGTGACAACTTTCGCAGCGAGTCTGAGGAAGCCACAAAGAAAATCCCTTCGGCAGAAAGGATCCAGACCGAGGGGCACTCTGCCGTGTGCGTGTGGTCAGCAGGCCAGGCTGGCCCCTGGGCTGCGCGGCTTCTAATGGACAGGACACAGCTCTGCTCTTCTGGTCCCTCCTCCCCCTTCTCTCTGGGCCATCACCCTTCAACCCAGGCACCATGTTGCAGGGAAGCCCAAAATAGCCCACGTGGAAGGGCTCCCCAGCCAACTGCTTCTAAGGGAAACAGGCCGCAGGCAGGAGCCAGCATCCCGTGCGGACATCCGGGTGGATGAGCCTGCGGAGGATCCCAGGCCGGCCTTCGACGCTGAGTGGGCCAGAGGCGGGCTGACCCTGCTGAGCCCAAGCAACCGTATGCGGCTGAGTCGATCGATGTGTGTGTGTTGTTCCAAGCCACTGTTTGGGGTGGCTCGTTAGGCATTCAGTAACCAGAAGAATGGCTACCCCCACGTGGCAACCATGGTAAAAACGCAAACCCTGGATCTGCCTGTGAGATGGAGTCAGACATTTATAGTGTAGTGGAAAAGCACACCGGAAACGAAGGCCAGAGGCAGCTGCGGCTCCAGTCTGTCTCCCCTCTCAATTAGTGTACCGTTCGCTGGTTCCCGGCTAACGTCCAGCGCGAATGGCCAGGCCCAGCTGTGGCCTTGGCCAACAGAGTCAGTGCAAACAGTGAGTGCCACGGACAGAAACCGGCTGCTGCGGAGCCCCAGCCCGTCGGCTGCCCGTCAGTATCTGCAGAGTGCCGGGCAGGCCTTGGCAGGGCGTCTGGTCCGAGAGCCGTGCAGAGCTGTGCCTTCTCACCAGGCTGCCACGGGCCTGGGCAGGCAGAGGGGGCCGCCCCGGCCTGGCTGTGGCCGTCCGGAGCACCACGCAGCAGGCGCCCGCCCGTCTGTCAGGCTTGCCGCAGCTGAGCGGCACTGGTGTCCACCTGGACCCTCAGGGAGCCTGGAGCCGGGCCTGGATCTGCCAGGAGAGCAGACGAGGGTCCCCTTCACAGCTGGCGAGGGGCGGCACGCCAAGGCTCACGGGAGACGGCCCTGGGAAGAGCTGTGTCCGCAGGTACCCAGTTCAAGGTCCGGCGTGGTCAGTGTCCCTGGAGAACATGCGGGAAGGGAGGGGTCAGGAAAGGAGGTTGGCCCCGGCGCGTGGAGGAGGTGACGTCAGCATAGGGCTTAGGGGTGGTGCACAGCAGGGACGGGGCGGGGAGTGTGGGGCGAGCACAGGGGTGTGGCCTGTCATCCTCCTAGTGAGAGACAGAGGAGGCTGTAGTGTGGGGGCAGCAGCGAGCTGGCTCGGGGTGCCACGGGAAGGTCTTCCCCACACCGCGGCTGTGCAGGTTGACGGCTGGACCCTGCCTTCCCTTCCCTGGCCTCTGAGCCAGGACACCTCCACTGAGCCCAGCGTAAGACCAGGGGTCCTGGGGGCCGGGGGAAGACCCCGGCGTCACAGGCACACTGACCCCAGGGGCCCCGTGGTCCCCGCTCCAGCCCACCCAGCTACCTTGCAGGGCGCAGCAGATCATCGCAGGCTGATCCGGGAGTCCAGCTGCTGCAGGTGCTCCTGGACGCCGAATGGGATGGTGGGCGTCCACATCCTGCAGGGCAGGGGGCTCAGTGGGCAAGGGAAGGGCGAAGGGGGCCCAAGCCCCCCTGCTCGGCCAGCTGCAGCCCTGCAGGCCTCCCCCCTGCCAGTGGGAGTGCGGGGAGAGTAGACGCCTAGGAGCCCCACTCTGGTTTTGCTGCAGACTTCCTGTGTGACCCCAAAAAGGCGGATCAACTGCTCTGTGCCTGACTATCCTCATCTGTAGAGCGGGTCTCGTAAGACCACGCTGTCTGTCTTTGGGGATACGAGTGATTAATTAAAGAGAAGAAAGTAGCAGTATCAGACATCAGACGTCACCTTAACTTAACACTAAATGATCTCCAACTACACAATTACCGAATTTACAGGTAAAATCCGGTGACTGCTGCGTGCCAAGTACTGATCTAAGGGCTTTGTGCATCCTGACTTATTTGAACCTCGCCAAGCCTCTTGGGGTAGATGTTATCATCACCCCCATTTTACAGATGAGGACACTGAGGCCAGAGGGGAGGGGAAGGATTTGGGCTCTGGGGTCACACTGAACCCCACTCTCGGACAGCTTGCAGCTCTGCCCCCCCACCTCCCCCGCCCCCTGGCTGCCAAGACTTACGCCAGCGTCTCCACATGAGGGCACTTCCTCAGGCTGGCGGCGAGCTGCTGGGCCCCGGCGGCCGTGAACTTGTTGTACTGGACACTGGGGAGAGCAACCCATCCTGAGGCCTGGCCCTTGGGACCACCCGGCTCCAGAGCAAGGCCACCCCCGCCCCCAGCCTGCTCCCTCCCGCCGGACCCCGCACACTCACTCCAGCACCCGCAGGGCCGCCATGCGTGGAAGTACGTGCGCCAGGCTCTCGGCTCCCGCGTCGCAGATGCAGTTATTGTACAAGCTGCCAGGAACAGAGGTTGGAGAGTGCTGGGGCTTGGGACCTGGCGGCATCCGCACCCACCTAGGGTTGCCGCCCCATCCTCAGAGGGGCACACTGAGGCCCAGGGAGCTGGGGCTGCTCCTCTGTGGTCCCACAGGGAGTCCAGGGAAGCAGCGGGACTTAGAGGAAGCAGCTTCCTGGCAGACAGCGTGCAGACTCTCAGGGAACGACCTTCCGAGTTCGAATCCCAGCTGTGCCTCTTCTGACTCTCAAAACACCCAACCCCTTTCCCACCTGCTGTCCCAGGGGAAAGGTCATCCCTCAGAGGTGCCCTGCCCCTGCTGGTGACCTGGACACTCCCTGCTGTGCTCTCCCGGGCCTTGGGAGCTGCCTTCCCAGTGTGCGTCATTATTTTAACACGTTTAACGTAGGTGTGCTTACCTGCTTACAATACAAGAAACTTTAGAGCAAGAACTGCGTGTGTCCCACGCAGATGTGTCCCTAGTTGCCGGCAGGGGTCCTGGCTGGCAGTGGGGGAGGGCAGCAATCGTGCAGACCTGCACAGCTGCGCGTGGCGGTCCTGGCTGGACCACCGTGAACGGATGCCACCGTGGGGATGCACCAGATGCATCCTGGGAATCTGCCTCTGGCTGTCCCTGGCAAGTGAGCAGGCCTGAGAAGTTCCTCCCAGGCCCGAACTCCGTTCCCCCTTAGTCTCTGGGGCCAGCCCAAGGGCTGGCGGGAAGAACGCTACAGCAAGATGCCATGCCCTGGCCTACCAGAAGGTGGCAGTGTCATCACTGGCTGGTGTGAGTAACAGGCCAGCCTTCGGGAAGCCACCAGCCGTGGACTCCAGGGAGAGCCTGCTCCTGCCTTCCCCTGGGAACCGGAACTGCTGTTTCCTGCACCCTGGGGAACACTGGGCCATGTGCTTTACATCGGCCACTGGGATGCTTCCCATTTTCTGGCCATGGAAAGAGGCTGGAATGGAACCCCTCCCCGGGTTCTGCCAACCCTCTTGTTCACTGGATCCCCAGATGACGGCCCCCTGGGGTTGGCAGCCATAGGGCTCCCTGCCCCGCCCCCCACACCCGCCCGAGGGCGCCCTGCTCACCTCAGCCTGAGGAGGGAGCTGGCGAGCGCGGGCAGGGCCTCGGCGAGCGTGCAGGCGCCCAGGTCGGTGATGCTGTTCTGAGACAGGCTGCGGGGACACGGCGGCACGGTGGGCTCGGGGTCAATGCTGCTCAGCCCCTGCCCTGCCAGCATCACCCATCCGTTCACCCCAGACTCGGGCTCGGCAGGCTGCGCAGCCCAGAGCGGCCAACGCGGGCCCGCTGCGCTCTGCCCGGCTGCTGCGGGGTGAAGGGGGGGGCGAGAGCACGCTCACACGCCCCACAGTCGCCATGTCAGTCCCATGTCACGGCCCCTCTTTCTCTCTCACACTTGGCAGCCCTGCAGTTCACCGGCTGCCCTTCCGGGTGCAGGCTCCCTGTTTCAGCCACACCCTGTGCTCTGGAGCAGTGCTGGGCACGCGGTAGGTGCTCCACGGATACTTAAGTCGGGGGAGAACACAAGAAGAGAGAGGAAAGAGAGGGGAGGAAGAGGGAGGGCAGCTTCCAGGCCCCCGGCACGGCACAAGGCACTGCAGAACTGTCAGGGCGCTACAGTCAAGGGACCGGCACGCGCACTCCCCGCCTGGGCTATGAGGGCGAGGGGCAGGTCTGGGTACCGGCAGGGTCAACAGGAACAGGTGGCTCCTCCTACTCTGTCCCCGGCTGCACCCAGGGCAGCTCTGCCGTTGCACCCTAGCTGTTTGCAGGCCTGTGCACTTTGTAATGAGGGCTGCGTACGTCTGTTCCTCGCGTCCCCCCACCAGGACAGCGGATCCCTGAGGTCAGGGCATTTGTTGTGTTTAAAGCTGAGACCCCAGGGCCAACCCTGGTGCCTGCACGTAACAGGCGCCTCTTAGGAGCTGCTGACTGAATTCTGAAACGACAGGATGAATGGGTGAAGGCGAGCGCATGGCTGAGTGCAGCTGAAGGGCTGGTGGCGGAATGGGGCCACAGCAGACACAGAGCCAGCGGCCCGGGCACTTACTTGAGCGTCTCCAGGGCCTTCAGCTGAGGGAGGGTGGCCGACAGCTGTGCGACGCCCTCGTCCCCGATCTTGTTCTCGCTCAGGGAGTCCAGGCTGTGGGGGAATCAGACGGGGCCACTGACCCTCCTCAGCCCAGCATCCTGGCACCCGGCGCCAGCCATCGCCCAGGCACGGGGCCCACTGCCGAGCTGCTGAGAGCAGGCGGTCGCCGCCCAGAGGCGCCCATCCACTCTAATTCCTGAAGGACCAGGACCCCTGTTCTGCACCCCAGGAGCCCCAGGAGCCCCGGGCACATGGGCCCCGTCCTGCACCTCTCGGAAGCCCCGCTGCAAGGCGGGACCGCGGCCCCGGACTCCTGCCTCCCTGACAGGGCTGCTGAGTCCGAAGGCCACCCAGAGGTCCGGAACTCGTTTTCCTGCCGGGGCCTCCCATCTGCAGCGAGTCGGCCGAGGAAGGAGCTGAGGGTGGGGGACAGAAAGGGACAAGCGGGGTCTTCTCTCTGCACTGCCTTGGGGGCGGCTGCGGGAGAGGGCCCGGGTCCGCACTCACTCCAGGTGCTGCAGCGAGCAGAAGGCCGTGAGGATCCTCACCAGTTTGGGAAAGGCCTGGGGGCCCAAGGTGGGGCCCAACCTAGGAGGCAAAGAGCACAGGTTAGGCCCCGAGATAGCCACGGAAGGGCACGCCCACTCAGTCCCAGGCTCCTCCCCTTCTCTGCCCCCCGCCCCAGCCGAGGCCTCATCCGTCCACACCAAATCCCTCTGCTGGGGGCAGCTATTACAAGTCCCTGCCCTCCCCTCCAAATGGCCAGGGAGACTTCATCAGGGGCTCCCCAGCTTTCACCTCCGAGCAGAGCGCTGGTTCTTGCTTCCACACACACCCCTCCCCCATGCTAGTCTGCAGAAGGGTCCCTGAGTACCAGCCCAGGACCACCCAGGTGGTCTTGAACACTTACTATATGCCAGGAACATGCAGGGTCCTGCATCTGGCTTAAGCCATCCGCATTTTACAGATGGGGAAACTGAGGCAGAGAACTTAAGTAACTCACGTAAGGTCACATGGCCTGGACCGACCTTTGGACTTTCAGGAAAACTAAGAACAATGACGGGCTGCACCTTAAACTATGGTGGCGCACATTCAGTGTAAGGAGAGGTTTTATCCTTGAAATCACCGCCTTTGCTAATTTTTGATATTCCAACAACCACTGAGGAAGCTGTAGTGCCAGCGGTGGCTCCATGGTCGGTCTGGATGAGCATCCTCCATAAAGGCTGGAAGGCTAACTGTCCACAGCCAGCCCGTTCATTCTGAACGCCCTTGGTCTCTGAGCCCAGTGAGCGGCCGAGGACGGGCGGGCGCTGACCCAGGACCCGCGCTCCGGGCCTGAGCAGGTCCCTGCACCTCAGCGCCCCAGGTGCCCCAGGTGCCCCAGGTGTGGCTGTTAGAAGGCTGCTTGCCTCCTACGTCTGCCAGCCCAGGGGAGAAAGCTGTGCGCAAAGCAGACTTTTAAAAACCCCTGCCATTCACGGAGCTGACACGGCCGATAAGCAAGGAAACCAGCCTGTGGTCCGCTGTGGCTGCAGCGCAGGACCGAAGGGGAGGGGTGGGATTTTATGTTTAAATACAGGGGTCAGGAAAAAGCTTTGCTGGGGTCAGGCGCTGTGGCACAGCAGGTCCAGCCAATGCCTGCCACCCCAGTATCCTGTATGGGCACCAGTTCGAGTCCTGGCTGCTCCACTTCCAGTCCAGCTCCCTGCTAATGCGCCTGGGAAAGAAGCAGAAGACGGCTCAGGTGCTTGGGCCCCCGCACCCACATGGGAGACCCGGATGGAGTTGCAGACTCCTGGCTTTGGTTTGGCCCAGCGCCTACTGTTGCAGCTCTGTGGCGAATGAACCAATGGATGTAATCTCTCTCTTTCTCTCTTTCTGCCTTTCAAGAAATAGATAAATCTTAAAAAAATTAAACAGGCTGCCTCGTGGGACAGACACCTGCACCTCACAGCGGAGTGCTGGGAGGCGTCCCCCTCGGCTCCACTCCAGCTTCTTGCCCTGGGAGGCGGCAGGTGGGGCTCAGGGCCTTGGGTCCCACCAGCCATGTGGGAGACCCAGATTGAGCTCGCGGCCCCTGGTTTGCGCTCAGTCCAGCCTAGGCTGTCGTGAGCATTCAGGGAGTGAGCCAGCGGATGGAAGAGTCTGGCTCTGCCTTTCAATAAATGAAAAGGCCTCACTGACTGAACTCCAGAAGGTAAGGGGGCAGCTGCTCGGGGAAGAGCCCGGGCAGCCCCCACACAGCACAGCCAGGACAAAGGCCCGCAGGTCAGAAACCAGCAAGGAGGCCCATGTGGCTGCAGTGCGGTGAGCAGGAGAGGCAGGCCCTGGGGCTGAGGGCGGGGGAAGGGCTCTGAGTGGCACGGCAGCCTCAGGGCCGGCCGGGCCGGGCCGGGCCCCGCCACAATGTTCCCGGCAGCACAACGGCCAAAACAGGTGCCGAGAGCTCTTTCCTTCCGCCCTTCCTCGGAACCTTCTTGAGGCTTCCGGCTAACAGGTGGCTGCCCTCCCCCTCCCCGGCCCCCAGCGCTCGCCTCTTCTGCCCCACAGCCTCAGTTCCCCCAGAGCGTAGTTCCGACCCCAACTTAGGGGCTTTTGAAGCTGAAAATAAACGCAGGGCCAGAAAGGGCCCCAGCGCCCGTGCTCCGATGCTTCCTCTTCTCAGCCTCTTGTTTCTGTCCAAAACAACACACTTGACTTTCTCCGGGGCCGGAGGCGGGGGCAGGCACGCTCACAGCCTGCGGGCGGTCCCCCGGGGCCTGTGGGCAAGCCTCTCACCCTGCCAGGGTCTCAGGTGTGTAAGAAGAAGGCCGTTTGCCACGACCTGCATACACCGGGGCTGGTTCACGAGCCCCCAGAGGCCCGCGGCAAGCTCCCACTGCCAGGGAGCTTTTTGCTTGGTTGGAGCTGGGAGCGGCTGCCGGGGCTTTTGGGGCTTTGGACAACTTAAACTCGGCAGACCGCAGTGTCCCCATCGGCTCTGCGCTGCTGGACAGACCTAGATACGCCGCTGCTCTGCCTGGTGACCTGGGCACACTCTCGGGGGCCACTGAAGTCTCCACTTGCCACGCGGGCAGCGTTCCCAGCCCTGGCCACACGCAGCGTGACCAACTCTCCCAGTCTGCTTGGGGCTGAAGGATTCCTGGGATGCACACAAGCAGGGCGGTCCCGGGCGGGCGAGCCCGCTGGTGGTCGAGGTGGCAGGTTCATCCCCCAGGGGAAGCGGCTCACCAAAAGCTCCTGGGAATCTCACAAGCTGGGAGAGGGCCCTGGCTTGGGCGGGGCTCTGTGCCTGACTGAAACCCCCGATGACTCTGCTACGCAGCCAGGCCCGGCTGCTGGACAGATACCTGGGGCAGAGAGGGGTGCCAGCGAGGGCTGCCCTTGGGAGTCGACCCCTTGGCCATGGGAGTGAGCAAGCACAGGCCCAGGGGTGGTCACGGCGCCCTCCTACAGGTCACAGGCTGGGAGCCCACGGGGCTCTTCTCCTAACCCGCCAACTACCATTTCTGGAAGGCCTTTCTCCACCTGGCCCAGTCCCACTCCCTTGTAAGCGTCAACACAGATGTTGCCTCCTCCAGTAAGTCCTCCTGACCACCCCTAGGGTAGCATTGCCACACTCTTGGCGCTTCCTGCCACGGATCGCATTTATGCCAGGCTGTACACTCCGTGAGCAATGCGTCCATCAGCTGCCGTTCAGAGGGGCTCACACATCCACTCAGCGCGCGACGGGAGTGAGCATGCTCCCTCCCCCCAGCTGTGGGAAGCATGGTGACAATGACTGGCGGATCCGTCTCCGCTCTGCTGGCACCAGCCCAGCTCTGCTGGGGGTGAGAGCCTGTGGGGACCCGAGACATCTGGCCCTTTGCTTACGCAAACTCCAGCTTCTTCAGGTCCCGGACGGCGGGGAGTCCGCCGGCTTCGTCTGCAGAGGCGCGTCCCATCCTAAAGGAGCAGGCAGTGTTGGGGATCACTCTTCTGTGGCTGAGCCCCCGCCCCCGTGTCCTGGGGCCCTGCTTCCCGGGAGGAGAAGAAAAGCTCAGGGAGAAGGGCCTCCATGGCTCCCTGCCAGCTTGCGGTGCCCACGGCACGCTGGAGGTGCCAGCGCCGCACATGCAAGGGACACGTGAGACACGGTAACTGGTGCTGTGAGGTCTCCCCTGCACCCTAGACCTCGGCCGGACAGCTAGACAACGGGGACGGACAATCCTAGCTCTGGGTGCCCCCCATGGGGACAGCTGATGCCCCAGTAACCAGACACAAAGGCATCCCGCAAGCACCTGTGGGAGAGCCCCTCCGTGGCTTCAGCTGGGAAGCAGCCGGGAACGGGATGGCCAGTTTCGAACAGGGGACGGTGTTCAGTTCTGGGGCTCTGCCTGCGTGCTGCCCGCAGGGAGAGGCTCTGGGCGGCCCCCGGCCAGGCAGAGAGCACAGGAACCTCCAGGGCCAAGAAGCGCTGGGGAGCCGAGGCCCGGGCAGACAAGGGCCTCACCCTGCACGTGGGGCCCTGGCCCCGGCCCTCACCTCTGGGTCCGCACGAGGTGGCCGAGCTCCTCCACATCCTTCAGAGACTGGGCCCTGAAAGGCTCCAGGGTGAATTTCTCTTCCGCTGCCTGGAGTAGCTTGGTCTCCCCACGCTGCTGCAGGGCCTCCCACAGCCCCACCGTGTCGCTCAAGTTGGCCCTGTGGAGGGAGGGCCTCAGCCTCAGACCCAGGCATGGGGGCGGCTCCGGGAAGGGAGATGTGACTCAGACCCTCCCCATCCGCGCCACACCCTGGATGCCCTCGGAGGGCCTCCAACGGCCACTCTGGCCCTCACTGGTTCTCCCTTTCCTTCTGCTCTCACACGGCTCTGTTCCCCTTTTGGCCTTGGCGACCAGGAAGCTCGGTATGAAATTGTGGGCACCATCCGTGAGGCCCTGAGAGCTCGGGTCAAGGATGTCTAGCCAGAACATGGGGGCGACTCTCCCACAAAGGTGAAGCGCTCCAGCAACTGCAGAGGGACTTACGTGAACCAAAGGAGGGAATGTGGACCGCACTGAGGCGGTGGGGAACCCGAAGGGATGGACGGGGTGGGTCAGGGTCAGGGTCAGGGTCAAGTTCTGCCAAGACTGCTCTGGGGGCTGAACGGAAAGTAGAACAGAGAAGAGAGAACAGAGGCAGGGGTTGGAGGGAGGGCTGTGGCCTTAATCTACCCCGAGAAGAGAGCTTGATCAAAAGGGAGAGAACACATATGGGAGTCCAGCTCAGTGTCAGGCGCCAGCCACGGCCAGGATCCGGCACGTGGCGGCCTTCAAATACTGGTTCCAGGAAGGAAGCTGCCCTTCTGCGGGTCTCTCGGACTTCTACGAGAGCCACAGAGTAAGGCACGGGGCCTCGCACCAGGCCCGCGGGAGCCCTTCCTGCCCCCGGCCCCCACCTGAAGCTGCTGACGTGGCTGAGTCCCACGAGGCTGCCCAGTCCGCCGGGGTCCACACCGGTGCTGCGGAGGTCCAGAGAGAAGTCCCGGCCGGCGGCCTCCAAGGCCCGGGCCAGCACGTGTGTGTCAGCGGGCGTGAGCCGCGTGCCCAGGAAGGAGAGGCGGGAGGGGAGCTCGCGCACCACGTGCTGCCAGATCCCGGCCTCCTCGGCCTCGTGGGCGCAGTGCAGCAGCTCGAGCAGCCGCCGCGCCCTCAGCGTCCCTGGCTGCAGCCGCTTCAAGTACCTGGCGAGCACCTTCTGCTTCCGGTCCACCGCGGCGGCTGCCTCTGGCCCCACCAGGGCTCCCAGGCAGCGGGCGCGGGGCTGGAAGATCAGCCCGGTGAGGAAGCGCGGCACGCCCTCCAGCCAGTTGTCGTAGGGCCTCTTCTTCCTCGGGGTCAGTGCCAAGTACTGCGGCAGCTCCTTGTTCTTGATCTCGCTGCTCAGCGCCAGCCACACAGCCCCCAGGAAGCACTGCAGGAGGAAGCTGGAGAAAGCCAGCTCGGTCTCCGCGGCGCCTGGGGCTGGCTGCACCAAGCCTCTGGCCACAGCCCAGGTCCTCAGCTCCGCCGACGGGAACTGGCTCTCCTGCAGGGAGCTTTGGTGTCTGCGGCCCAGCTCCCAGGCCAGCCTGGCCAGTGCCACCAGGGCCCCTGGGGGGCCGTCGCTGGCCGCAGGGCCCAGCAGGTCCACGTAGAGTCCTGTGAGCGTGCAGGGCAGCCGGGCCCCGCAGCCCTGCTTCAGCAAGGCCTGTGCGAGCTGGCACGTCGCCCGGCACACGGTTGGGCTGTGGCTGTGGCTGACCAGAAACGGGCGCTCCTGCAGCAGTGCCAGGGCTCTCTCTTGGTGCTCTGGGGCTCCGCAGCGCTCAAAGTATTGTACCACGTAGGCGTGGGCCTGCTCGGCCGAGAAGCCAGTCATCTCGTACAGGGCGTCGGCCTTGCTCAGGCTCTGGCCCAGGCGGCCCCGAGGCCGGGCGGTGAGGAGCAGGGTGCAGCCCCGGAGCAGCCTGCGCTGGAAGAGGCCGGCCAGCAGCCCCCGGAGGGAGCAGGGCTCCGTGGGCCCGGGGCCGCCCGCGCCGCCGTGCAGGAGGCTGTCCTGGGCTTCCACCTCCTCGAAGGCGTCCAGGATGAGCAGGACGCGCTCAGGCCTCCTCAAGATGTGGCCAAAGACCTCGTCGTCTGCGGCCGGGGCCGGCGGGCCCGGGGACACAAGCAGGTCGCACAGGCGAAAGTCGTCCCCGGGACGGTCCAGGCAGCGGCAGGGCACGTGGAAGACGAAGTCGTACTGCGGCAGCCGGCCGCAGGCCCAGGCCCGGCCCACCGCCCGGGCCCAGTGGCTCTTGCCCTGCCCGGCCCTGCCCAGCACGGCGATGATCTGTGTCTCTCGTGGCTGCCGGGGGTTGCTGGCAGCCAGCACCTCGGCCAGACCCCCGTGGGCCAGCTGCCTCTCGGCCCAGTCCAGCGTGGCCAGTTCCCTGTCCTGGCTCTTGCTGCCGCTCCTCTCCAGCTGCGCCCGCACCAGATCCACCTCCACCTGGATGCCATCCGGGCCTGCGGGCTCAGCCTGGAACTTGTCCTGCAGCGAGCGGCAGAGCTGCCGCACCGGCTCTGCAAAGGCCAAGGGGACCGTTGGGGTGGTGGCGGGGGAAGCACAGCCCAAGGCAGGACAGGCGACTGCAAAGGCAGCTGAGGGCCAGCCCTGCCACTGCCACCAGCTTCCTGCACCCCCGCGCCCACTGCCGCCTTTGGTTCCCCGGGAGCTCCTTCGTCCACCCACGCTCACGCCCACTCACTCATCCTCTCACTTGTTACCCACTCCTTTCCCAACTCTTCTTCCCCCTCCGTTTACTCACTAACCTTCTTCTGGTCACTCCCTCACTGCAGGGAGGCATGTGCATGCGTGTGTGCATGCGTGTGTGTGCATGTGTGTGCGCGCATGTGCGTGTGTGCATGCGTGTGTGTGCATGTGTGCATGTGTGTGTGTGTAAAAGCAATCAGCCGGCCTGGGTTCAAATCCTGGCTCTACCACTTCTCCGTGTAATCCTAAGAGCACTGTGCACCCCACCACGCCTCATAGCCTCTGTGTAAGAGGGAGCAATATTAGGGCTGTTTGAGACTCTATGCTCTAATGTCTCCAGCGTGCTTGGACGAGCACCCAGAAGCAAGCACTGAGTAACGGAGCCATTCTCTTAGCACCCTCTTCTTCCCACCGGGCATCACTCCCACCCATCAGCTTCCTCCTCCTTCCACCTGCTCCAAGCTCACTCTCCCCTCCTTTGTTCTCTCAACCCTGGCCTGTAATCGAGTGAGCAAGCAAGTGAGACAGAGAGCCAACACAAGAAGTCAACAAAGGACGGACTGAGTGCCACTGAGAGAAGGGGGGGGTGCAGCCCAGTGGGGGTTTTGCCTCCAGCACCCAGGTCACAGGGACCTGCCACCCACCACCTACCAGGCCATTTGGAGACCTCCGGGGCTTCTTGGCATCGTGTGGGGAGCACAGTGTCCTCTGGGGATGGAGAAGCCAGTGTCAGAGTTTGGGGGGGGGGGCCCCAGGTTCCTCCCTCCCTCTGGGCCTCAGGACTCAGAGCACCCTGATGGAGCAGCCCACACGGGCTGAGGCTCCCAAGGCAGAGCTTACAAGGAACTGGCCCAAAGCTGTGTCCGACCCAAAGATACCTTTCTTTGGCAAATTGTACTTTTAAAAAACTGACCCATGCTTAAGAAATCCCTGCATCTACGTACAAATTGGGACTTCCAGGTTTGGAAGCTCTGGGCCTGCTTTCCTGCCTCGTAAGAAGCAGTGGAGGCTGGTGGCCCTGCTGGGGGGGGCGTGGATTCTCCAGCTGTCCTCTCCCCTCCACTCCCCGCAGGCCCCGCCACCTGGTTCCACCCACGAACATGAACAGGCAGCTCTGTCCGCAGGTTCCATCCCTAGGACCCTCACACACCCCGAGGGCTGTTACCTGTCTCGTTTGTGCGGGAGGTCAGGGCTGGCTCGGGCATGCTGGGCAGCTCAGCTGCAGACGGAGCGAAGGGGCTGGTGGAGCCAGGCCGGTCTGGGGACTTCGGGAGGCTGTGCACAGCAGGGCCTCTGGGAGGGGACGCTTGGCTGGCCGGGGGCAGCTTGCCTTGGTTGGGGGTGGAGGGAGTGTAAGAACAAGCACGCACCCATCCGGGTACCCCCTTGGATCCACCTCCACCCGAATCAGGCTGTGGAGCTTGGAAAGTCTGGGGAGAGAGGAAGGGAACTTGCAAGGGAAGACATTTCAGGAGCACGCTGAGGGCAGAGCTCCACAGCTGCATCGCCCGTGACGTGGACACAGCTCACCGGGAGCCTGGGCCAGGCACCACCATGGCACTGCTTCCACCGTGTGGCCAAGCCTCACGGCCTCACGGCCCCAAATGTCACTGCTCCCTTGCTGTGGACTCCACACCAGTGTGTTAGACAGCCCCAGGTGTGCCCCAGCAAAGGGGGCTCTTTGTAAAGCTTTATTTAGTTATTCAAAAGACTGAGTGAGAGAGAGAAACAGAAAGAGAGAGATCATCCGTCTTTCGCAGATGGCTGCAACAGCCAGGGCTGGGCTGGGCCACATCCAGGAGCCAGGGATCCATTCTGGTCTCCCGCGGGAGTGGCAGGGGCCCAAGCACGTGGGCCATCTTCCACTGCCTTCCCAGGTGCATCAGAGCCTGGATCAGGAGCAGAATAGCAGGGACTCGGACAGGCACTCTGATGTTGCATATGGCGGCAGAAGCAGTTCAACCTGCTGCGCCACCACACTGGCCCCAAGATGCTCCCAGCCTGAGTGCAGAGATCCTCCGGAGAGCCCAGAAGCACTTGCCCTGGGACAATGACAACCCCTCGGTGTGGCGGGTCAGGATACAAGACAGTTCTGAGAAAGCTGTGTAAGGATGCCTGTCGGACTCTCGCAGTGCTACGCCCACGAGCAGCGAGGCACTCAAGTGACTTAGAAGTATCTCCTGTTGTTGGGCTTATTAATGAGCATGTACTGATGCTGCAGTTTAAGGCCATAACAAGGTTTTTAAGAAGAAGAAGGTGGGCCGGCGCCATGGCTCACTAGGCTAATCCTCCGCCTAGCGGCGCCGGCACACCGGGTTCTAGTCCCGGTTGGGGCGCCGGATTCTGTCCCGGTTGCCCCTCTTCCAGGCCAGCTCTCTGCTGTGGCCAGGGAGTGCAGTGGAGGATGGCCCAGGGGCTTGGGCCCTGCACCCCATGGGAGACCAGGAAAAGCACCTGGCTCCTGGCTCCTGCCATCGGATCAGCGCGGTGCGCCGGCCGCAGCGCACCGGCCGCGGCGGCCATTGGAGGGTGAACCAACGGCAAAGGAAGACCTTTCTCTCTGTCTCTCTCTCTCACTGTCCACTCTGCCTGTCAAAAAATAAAAAAATAAAAATAAAAAAAAATAAAAAAAAAAAAAGAAGAAGAAGGTGACACATGGAGGGTCACACAGGCAGTCTTGCTCGTGTATCCAGACTACCCCAGAAAGCATGGCTTCCCTGCTTTGATTTTTGAAAAATGGTTATAAAGAAAGGTGTGCCAGAGAGGAGGGATCATACGGCAGTGTGAGGCCCCAACTCCAAATGCCTGGGGCTGGGGCGAGGGGCTCAGGGAGCAGCAGGGGGAGAGGCCTGGGGGCGAGGGGCTCAGGGAGCAGTCGGGCAGCAGGGGTGAGGCCGTGCACACTCACTGTGGTAGATGAATATACTGGAGACGCCAGTCCCAGCCCCTGAGATTTGCCAGAGCCACTGGGGCAGAGCGGGGACAGTGGGGATGAGCTGCATGGGGCCAGCAGGGAGGTTCAGGCAGTTCGAGGAGGAGCTGGTGGGGGGCACTGCAGGAGACAAACGCAGTGAGGAGGGTCTCCCATGGCACCCACCCTTGGACTCGGTTTGGTGACCCCCTTGATTCGTGTCTGCTTCCCCTAAGGGGCTCCAGTTTCTCCAGGGGCAGCAGCTGCGTCTGTCTTGGTGCGGGAGGGGCCCCTCGTGTCTAGCAGTGTAGCTGGCACAGCAGAGGCCTCCACACAGAGCTAATGCTGGCACAGGCCCCCGAAGCCTGCCAGGCACGTCCTCTGGCAGGGACTGTGCAGACTGAGACTCTGAGGATGAAAGTGGTGGGACACTGGGGGTGACACCGATGTGGGGTTCCCAATCCTGGCGGTCCCCGGCTAGTCCTCAGCTACCTCCCAGCAGGGGAAGCCCAGCCCCGTGACCCTAAATACCAGGCTTCTGGACGGCTCCCTCCTGGTGGGTCTGGCTGCGCGCTGGCTCCTGGTTGAGCAGGGCAGGTGGCGGTGGGCAGGGCAGAGCGGGGGAGTCCATCACTGGCCCCACCAGGAAGCTGCCGGTCACCACGGGCACAGTGGGGGGTTCAGCTGTGGAAAGCACCATGTTAGAGGCTGGGTAGCAGCTTATGGGTGCCTGGAGGGGCCTGCCTGGGGTGGGGCGAGCTCTGAGTGGCAGGGGTCCCTGGGGGCACAAGGGTTGCACACCCTGCCCCCAGCCCTGTCCTCGACATGGTTCCCGAGGGTTTCCTGAGCAGGTCCCTAGGGCCCCACAGGACAGGGGCAGAAGAGAAGCTATAAAAAGGCTGCTAGCCTCCCTCCCTCCCTCCCACACACCTCTAGCAGTCATTGAGTCCCTTGGGGCCACTCAGGGGCCCCTGAGCACTCGGGCTGTGCCCAAGGAGAGAGACTGCACCACATGCCTGCCCCTCCCCCAAGACCCGGGGCAGGGGATTAACCTCATCCCTTTCCTGGGCGATCTAAGGCGGGAGGGATCTGCCTCTCTCATCAGCTTGGCAGTCTGGGAGAGGAGAGTGCTGCTCTCCCCCATCAGATTGGGAACTCTCTGAGGACAGGAACCTCAGGAACTCCACCATTGTCCTGGGGTCTTCGTGGGCAGACATCCTGTCTCCACCATCGGACTGGGACTTTCTGAGGGCAGGGCCTGTGCTTCCTCCATCAGACTGTGAGCCTTTCAATCCTCAGTCTGATCTCCACACGAGAGGAGGAGGCCTCTGGTGAGAAACGAGGAACCTGGGGGAGGGCCCTGGGTGACCCGCTGACCCCAGGTGACCCTAAGGGGGCCATGAGGGGAGAGGCTTTGGAGAAGCTCAGTCTTGCTGCAGACCTGGGCTGGCCACGCAAGGCCTTGGTTTGACCCCTCCCTGCCCCGACTGGCTGTGTGATCTTGGGCGTGTGACTTCAGCTCTCGGAACCTCAGCTTGCAGTGCCCGTCTCTCCTGTTCCCAGCTCTCCCTGGGCCCCGCGCCCTGCTCACCTAGCCTCCTGTGCTTCGGATCTGCCGGGCACTCATCCGGGAAGGCTGCAGGAAGAACAGCAGGGTCAGCCGCTCAAGCCGCGAGGGCTCAGGGACCCAGCAGGCCACAAAGCCTTCCCCACAAGGTCGGGAAGTGGCCTCCCCTTCCTTTAACCTTTCTAGCCCCTTACTCCTTGGCTGGAGCCCAAATCCCACCTTGAAGCCCCCCAGGAGGTGAGGCAGAGCCCCGAAGGGCACACACCGTGAGCTTCAGGTAAAAATCAAACCAGGGGCTGCTGTGGGGGTGCAGCAGGACAGCTGCTTACAGCATCCGCTTCCTGTACTGGAAGCGGGTTCGAGTCCCGGTGGCTCCACTTCCCATCCAGCTCCCCGCTAATGTGCCTGGGAAGGTGGCAGAATGGCCCCTGCCTTCCACGTGGCAGGGTGGATTCCTGGCTCCTGGCTTCAGGCTGGCCCAGACCTGGCTGTTGCAGCCATTTGTGGTCGACGAAAGACACCTCTCTCTCCCTCCCTGCCTCCCTCCATCACTCTGCCTTGGAAATCAATCAATCAATCTTAAAAAAGAAAAACCAAGCCAAACAACTTGTTGGCTGCGCGCCTTTGCCAGCCGGCCTCTCTCAGCCTTTGCTCTCTCGTGTGGAAGGGGGTGGTGGGGCCCACGCTGCACTGGACACCGGTGAGTGAGCATCAAGCACTCAGCACGTCAGTGGACACAAAGCAGGGGCTGGCTGTACAATCTCCCTTCACCTGCCCAGTGAAACTGCACGCGGCCCTGGGAGCGAGGGGGCTGAAGGATGTACAGGGAAGGCTAACGGTGCCTGCAATTTACTTTCAAATTCCCCAAAAGGAAAGCAGACGGCTGGGTGGGTGGGTGGACAGACAGAGGGATGGAGACGAGACAGGGCAACCACGGGCACACGCTACTGCAGTACTATGGTGGCCACACAGGTGTTCACAGCACGGTTCTTTTACCTTTCCTGTATGTTGGAAAATGTCATAACATGTAGGGGGAAATATTTATTAAATGAAAACCAAAAAATAGAAAAAAAAAAAAAAAGAAGTCCCTGGAGGTAGCACCCTCTGCTCTCCATCGACAATCTGGAAATGCCCTCCTCGGCATGTGAAAGGAAGAAAGCAAAATGCAGAACAGAAGAAGCTAAATGTTGCCATTTTGCACAAGCAAAATGTGCAGAAAAGACCTGTGAAAAAGCAGCCAGCTTACAGATGGATGAACAGACTATTTTTAAAATTGTGTATTTAATCATTTAATTTGAAAGGCAGAGAGATGGAGAGCTCCTGTCTGTCTGTTCACTCCCCAGGTGCCCACAACAGCCAGGGGTGGACCAAGCTGAAGCCCGGAGCCCAGAAGTCAATCCAGGCCTCCCAGGGGATGGCAGGGGCTCGAGCATCGGAGCCATCACCTGCTGCCTCCCAGGGAACGCATCAGCAGAAGAGTCCAATCAGAAGTGCAGCCCGCACTTAACGCGGGCCCTCGAGTGTGGGACGCGGCATCTCCAGCATCAGCTTAACCTCTAGGCCAAACGCCTGCCCCGGAGAGGGATACCTGTGACAGGGCAAAAGGAAACTGGAAACACAGGCTCCCTTCCAGGAGGGAAACTAACAGAGCACGGAACGGGAGTGGGAGCGAGATGGTTTTGCAGCTAATAGTCTTTATACTTCCTGAATTTTTATACCACGTGCCCGATGCACCTGTTCAAACATAAACAAATAGGGAGCTGGCATTGTGGCAAAGTGGGTTAGGCTGCTAGCTGCCATGCCAGCGTCCCATATCAGAGTGCTGGTTTGAGCCCCGGCTGCTCCACCTAGATCCAGCTCTCTGCTAACGCGCCTGGGAAAGCAGTAGAAGATGGCCAAATGCTTGGGTCCCTGCAGCCACACAGAGGAGACCCAGATGGAATTCCAGGCTCCTGACTTTGGCCTGGGCCAGCCCCAGTTGTTACAGTCACTTGGGGAGCAAACCAGTAGATGGAAGATCTCTCTGTCTCTCTCTCTCTCTGTCTCCCTCTCTCTGTCACTGCCTTTCAAATAAATAAACACATTAAAAAAAAAAAAAAAGTCAAAGAAATAGATACAAGGCTTACATATGGTCTGGCACTTACTTGGGAAGTACTCCCTTAACGGTTGTGCCCATTTTACAGATACTCTTTACTGAGATGCACTCGCACAGCAGGCACTGTGCTGCATTCCAGGGATGCAGTGATGAGCAAGAAAGACGAGGTCCCTTCCTTACAGTGAGAATCAGTCCAGACTGCAACAAGTGCTAAGGTCTACGGAGTGAAACAAACAAGGCAAGAATAAGCAAGCAAGTCGATGTGGAGAGGGTGGTCAGGGAAGGGAGCCAGGAGGAGATGACATTTTAGCCAAGACCTAAACGACTGTCAGGAGCTGGGCGTGGGAAGCATTAGCAGAGAGATGCATGCAAAGGCCCTGAGGCCAGAAAGGACACGTGGGCTGCAGGCAGGGAAAGAAGCCAGTGTGGCTGCATACAGTGGCTCTTGGCGAGTTTGGAGAGCTGGGAGGGGCCAGCTCTCGCAGGCCTGTGGTTTGCATTTCCTGACAACCGGGGCATCAGCGGGCATCAAGGTGATCTTCTGTGCTCTCAAGGGCTCCCACTGGCTGTCAGGTGAGGACAGACTAAGGAGGAAGGGAGCCTGGAGAGCAGGTTCAAGGGGTGCAGGTGTTAGCCAAGGCCATACGGAGCAGAAACAGAATATCAGGATCCAAGCCCTGTTCTTGCTGATGCCAGAATCTGTGCTTGGAGAGAACTTCCTCAAATGTGGCGTGACTCCTAGGAGGAGAGAAGCCCCAACCCCAGGTCCTGGAATGGCAGCCAAAGCAGCCAGGGGTACAACCTCGCCCGGAGAGCAGCCGTCTCTTTCTTCCTGGTTCTCCGCTGAATAGTAGTCAAGGGAGAGGCGGGGCCCCCAAACCCAGGCCAGAAAGACGAGAGCCGGGAAGCCAGGAAGAGGGGCCAGGAGGGGCCAGGGCCAGGCAGGGCCGGGGTGCGGGAGGGCTCACTCACGTCTCTTTTGACTTTTCTGTACTGCTTCCGCGGGCACCTCTGCGTTCTCACCAACCACGTCATCTGATCCCATGTGCTCTACTTCAGAGAAAAACCAGAGACCAACAGTCAGAGTCAGTGGGGGCCCTAGACCAGCCTCGCTTGTCCCTGCATTGCAGGGAGGGGCTGACTGGCCTCACAGGCTGGTCATCAGGTGTAATGGCGCCCTCCCAAGGAACAAGGAAGCAAATGCAGGCTGAGCCAAGAACGCCCCCAGCTCCACCCCAACTTACTGAAAATATCTCTGCTCAGGCCCTCCAGCTGGGAGTCCTGGAACACATACTGGTCCAGTTCCGCTGCCCAGACAAGGAAAACAGTCAATCAACAAGGTCCCCTGAGCCTGCTGTGTGGCAGGCCCGGGGAGGCACCAGAGATCCTGGCACACAGGGAGGTTTGAGAAATGTTTGTTCAATGTATCAATGATCAACTGAATGAATGACCATTGACATGAACTCTTAATCTAGCTGAAGGATTAAGGTGCACAGCCGCTTGCCTACTGCTACAATGCAGGTGGCACAGGGTTTGAGTTCAAATTCTACCTCGACTCTCCACTGACTCTACCAGCTGTGCAACCTTGGGCTAATTACTTAACCTCTCTGGGCCCCCATTTCCTCATTTGTGTAAGAACAAAAACAGTGCTTACTACCCAGGAATGGATGAGATAATTATAGGCTCTGCATTTAAAGAATCCAGCACAGTACCCAGTACACAGTAGGCACTCAATAAAAGGTGGCTAATCAACTGAGGTGGTTTGGAGCCAAGGGGATGACAGCTATGGCCAGAGGTCAGAGGAAAGAGTCTGCAATGGATGGGGCAGTTGGGGAGGGCCTCCCCGCGGAAGAGATGTGGGGTCAGGCCTTGGGAGCTGGGACAGAGTCTGGGAGGGGGCGTGGAGGGCTGTCTGGGTGGTGGGGACAGAGAGAGGAAAGGCAGTCAGGCATGTCTGGGAGACCACAAGATGTGGATGACTATAGCAGACGTTC